GAGGAAACCGTGTCTACAAGGAATATTCATTCCCCGGTGTCGTCCTACCAACTTACTGCCTTACGTCACTTCCACTCTTCCCTCATTTCCTAACGAAAGGAGACGCTTCTTACAGAGACTAATGACACATTCACGTTTCTTTGTAACGAAAAAACCCAGATCGCTCCATATGGATTTCCGGACGATACATTATCAAAGCTAAGTGCTTACATATTTCTGTGACTCCACCAGTCCCTTTGATGTTTTTGTCGGATCGGTTTTATACACTTTCCGTTCTGGTAATAGTTTCTCATTTTTCTGGTATCTCTGAACTTTTTTGATTCATGTCACAGGGATACAGCCTTTTTCACTGTGGCAGTCGATGTGTTAATATTTTTGCCCCCCCCCCCCTCCCCCCGATTGATAACCTGGGTGCACCTATGGTCACATACATTATTGATCAGTGTATAGTGAAACGTAAAATAAATAAATAAATGAATTAATAAAAGCGAATAAATAAATAAATAAAAACTAACTAGATACTGTACAAGTTAATTGTGAGATTAGAAGAGTAGAAACTACTATTTATGTGCTTGTTAAATTGAAACTATACATTCTGTATGATAGCAAGAAACTGGAGGTATTCTTTTTTCCCATAAAAGAACCTATCTCCTCCTACACCTAACCATCGCTTCTGGATTGGAATTTTCCCAATCTCTGTCCTGTTGTATTCTTCGACCAACTATTGTCGCAGAGATGCCCCCAAGGATTTCGAATGGTTTTTGTTCTTCGTGCCTCAAGTAAAAATAGTAACGGGTGCAATTTCATGCTGCAGAAATTTACTCTGCTAGTTTGAACAACTCCCCAGGATACGTGCGTGAGTGTTGTGCTCCCCTTAAGAGGTTATATGTACTTATTGTTAGTCAGAAAGACAAAATGAAGCGAATATTGTGAAGATTTGTGTTTTAAAAATCACAAGCATATATTGCTACAAGACTTTTTATATTTTAAAGAGTAACATTTGAAAAAGATTCGGTCATTTTTTCGTGTAAAAATATTCATTTATATGAAAGTTACAGCCGATGACAGTTCGATACTTTCTGAAAAGGAATTTTGCGGTAAGCCCTGCCATTCTGAATCACGTTTTCCAAAATATAAAACTAAAAGATTTCGGTAGAGTATTAGTGTATCTTCTTATTAATCGGTAGAATTCCGAAATATTATTCCAAAATGGTGGCTATTTAAATTTGGAGTTTTGATTTTTAACAAAAAAGGCGACCTTTTTCGTTCATGATATCGAAAGTTTATACTGACATAAAATCCTTCAATGAACCACTAGATTTTCATATATGCATAAAGTAAGCCCATAATATTTCAGAAATATTGGTGCAGTAATATCTGAGATATCTTGCTAGCAGTCTTTGAAAACGTTGTTACGAGAAAATCACGTTTAAAGTTTTACAGGTGCACTAAAATTGCTTTCGTTTAACTCCGTCGTCGTGAGACTGAAAACATTTTTCCTTTTCTTGGCCTCGATTTGTGATACTTTTTAGGGTTACTTAATACTCCAGAACCCTTTTTATCACTCGTAATTGTTGATAAAACAAAAATCTACAGAAGCACGAACGTTCAACTGCACAACTCAGAGGCACAGTCGGCCACACTACCAGCGTCTCGGAGTTTTGTATACGTTGGTCTAAGAAACCATCAATTTTAATCCGATTAACTTGAATCTTTGAGGGAATACTTTTTAGATTATATACTTTCAGAAAATGGCAATACTGAAAATTCGTTATTTTTTCGATCTCCTGACTACGCATAACACCTTAAGCCAGGTCCAGACACGTGTAACGCGCATTGCAGAACTCTTGAAAGGGTCAATTTTAATGGGTCGACGCGTAGCTAACGACTTCGTGCAACGTCAAGTCGAACACGAGTATTCTGACTTGCATCGTAGAAACTATTAGAAGGAACGTCTATTTGTTATCATACCTACCCGAACATTGATTACTGTGTTAAAAGAAAGAAAATTATATATTTATGCCGGACGTATAAATTATTAATTTTTTAAGAGTTACAACCTACTTTTTCTGTCGTAATTTTACTTTATTATGAAAAAAATATAACCTTAATTTTCAGTGTCGTAAGCAGCTTCGCGGGAAGGTTTTTTTAATAAATTTCCACCTATCTAGATGTGTATCACTCTATTGCCATGATAAATTACTTTTTTACATTCTATGCAGTTGCTTTTGTCATGTACAAAATTATGGGTGTACAAAAGGGATCATAGAATATATAAGCCTACGATATGTAGAGCATCGGTAAACGTATTCGATTTCTTTATAGTTTAATTCCTTATTTATCCCTAATTCCACTTAAATATAGAGTAAAAGAAAGTAACAGCACAGTCTGATATCGCGAAAATAAAATAACAGCAATACAAGAAGCAAGTCATGACATTTTCAAACGAAATTTGTTTTTATAAATGGAGCCTTAAATGAAACAATGTTATCCTCTTCTTCGACTTATAGATGCATATAGAATCACCCGGCCGATTGTACCACAATTTTGGAGAGAAAATTCTTGAGAGTCTCAAGTAGAAATTCTATTGCATGCTGCTTGAGTGTGGACGGAATTTTGTCCTGATACGTTATTTCTGTTCTCCTGTCTTTCTGATTCAGATAGGGCAGAAAAAGACCATGTCCAGTCATCATGGCCGTCATACATATAGTAGTTCAATGGGCGCCTTTTTGAGTCACTGGTTGAAGATCTGAACTGTGAAACGAGGATAAGAAGGAACCTGTTTGCAATCCTCCGTTTACATTTGGCTTGCCATTCTGCCATTACATCATCCTCAATTTTCAATGTCCTTACCTCAAGGTTGACTTTTGTCGCAACTTCTGCTCTGGTTGCTCTCATAGAGGTGTTTTTACCATTCTTCCCTTTCTAAATTTCTGCCTTTAACTTAAGAATTTACATATACCAGGGAGGCCAGTTATCACTCATAATGCATCGTATGCTACTGCGCGGTAAACCGCCGCAAGCCTCATAAGAGCCCTCTTGTGGTTTTCCCTGATCAAACGCTCATTTTCGCGTACCGTGCTTTTGTGGTGCCAAACCAGGGCAGCGTACATAATGGTGGATCAATGTAGGCTGTAATATAGCTTTCTTATGGTGTAATGAGGATCATCTACATTGGGCACGATTCTTGTTATCATGCCTGTCACCCTATCAGCCTTGATAGTAACCTTCTTAATGTGTGTCCTGAAATTCTTGTAAGTGACATTTCCTCTTGAAGGATTGGAAAACTCGGATTCCTTGGGATTCTCTTCTTTGTCACCTACATTATTTCAGTCTTGTCAGGGGTCAGCTGGTGCCCTAAGTCATTCATGATTTTAACACTAGGTTTACGGGCACTTATCGTGTAGGTATCTCCACGGCACGCATCAACGAACCCGCAGATTTTCTTTAAAAAACAACTTATTTTATATAATACACAATTTATGATCTCTGAAATTAATGCATAGCTATAGAGATAGGTATACCACATAGAGAATTTCGAGGTTAGAAAGCATTCGAAATGCGTCAAAATGACGTGTCCCGTAAACCTAGTGTTAACGATTCTGTCCATAATGTCACTGTGTCCTGTGTTTCATCTATATTTCAAGTAGTGATGGGCACCATCGACTAAAAACTATCGACTAAGTCGATAGTAACCAACGACTACTTTCAGTCGACTAATTTTCTCAATCGTCGACTACTTTAGTCGCTTGAAGCGACTAACTTCAGGCGAATAATATTAGTCGCTTGAAGCGACTACTTTCAGTTGACTAATAGTAGTCGCTCGAAGCGATTACTTTCAGGCGACTAATATTCATCGCTTGAAGCGTCTACTTTAGTCGATTAAATTTAGTCGCTTCAAGCGACTCGCTCGAACTATCGAGCTATTGATCGCTATTGACTGGATCTTGATTATTTTCTTCGCGATGCAAACGAATTGTAATGTTTCCATATATTTTTTTATGTATTACTAAGAACTGTGCAAATTATTGCTTGTAACCTAATTGATTTTCATAAAAAATTTAGAGCAGTTAATTGTTTAAGTGCCAATATTAAATAGCTTTCAGAAAATCGAATATTAGTAATTGTTTAAAAAAACTTGTTTACCACTTATATTTTTGAAATTCTATCTATGAACTAATACATTTCAAAAAGGTAAATACACCAATGGTGCTGAAAAGTTGATGACATAATCTGTACATAACCTATAAAGCAAAATTTCAGTCGACTAAAAACTATCGACTAAATAGTCGATAGTATGTTGCGACTAAATAGTCATTAGTCGATAGTTTAATTTAGTCGATGGTGTCCATCACTAGTCTCATGCACCCTGTTTCAAGACCGCACGCATTCTAGAAATTATATCAGAAATTCTCCCATGGTCAATGAGCGACAGGCCATCCGCCTTCGACTCCATTTAAAACACGTTCGCGCTAACATGTATTAGATGAAAAAGTGTCGTGGTCATTGCAGGGGAAATCTTTTCGAGACAGTACTTTAATAGAAATTTAAAGTTCAGTGTACCTTCATGAAGTACAAGTATCTGCTTCGTTATTGTGTGACAGATTTTATTGGCATTGCAATTTCTATGTAGAACATTACGTTTTAAATGATCGGAAGTTATATGTAGATGCACATCTTTGACAAAATTTTACTATACCGATCAAAAAAAAAAACAGAAAGCTTCCAATTATAATGTAAAAGTTGCCTGAATTGTGGCAATAGCTTGTTTCCAAATAGTATTTCTCTTTTCAGGCTACTCTTCATATACCTGCTTAAGTAAGATTGTCTACATTACATCAAAACATGGAAAAATGTTTAATGTAGTTCAATAACAGATATTTTAAATTATTCGTTGATTGTAGAAACTCTTTTGTCAGTTGGTCCATTTTTTCTAATTAATTCTCTAAATCAGTGTACAACTAGAAAACAAAATTAATGGTGTATTTCGTATTCTTTAGGATCCTCGCGTGCTGCTGTTTCTATTTTCCCACAACAATGGTGTTGATGTACTGCTACGGTTCAGCCTTCCATGTTAATAAACTACGCCTCAAAAGGGTGGTTTGCGTTAATACCCCGGAAGTCGTTAGGGGAGGCCACATGGAGAGGGTAAGTTTAGTTCCATCTGAAAATCCAATCAATGAATGAACTTTAAAAGGAGCTCATCAAATGATCTTACAGAATTCTAAAAGTTTATTTATTCAGCTGTTAATTGCATGACACATGTAAATTTGCGGTTAATACTTTTTTTCTGTAGTCATGTAAATTATCGTGATAACCAATAATTAAAACATTAATAATAAGAATTAAATTAAACATTGGTAGAGCATTGGCAATGAATAACAATTTATGGGTAAGCAATTAACGATTAACACTAACTTTTACTGACTTTGTCAGAATACTGGAAAATTTTATATTAGTTGCTTTTACAGGGTGCCTCATAAAAATTCGAACACCTAAATATCTCCTCTGCTTTTAATGACATTAGATATATCAATGATGATAATAGTGTCAAAGCATATAATACGTTAAAAACATTTTTGTGCATTTTCTATAGAACTATCTCATTTTATACAATGTTCCATTATTTACGTACTGTAATAATGTTCATATAAAAGGTGTTCTAGGACACCTTGTTCGACCACACTTCGATGGTATAACCTGTGGGTAGAAATAAGGACAAAATGTTAAAACTATACGTATAGGTTGTTTGATATTTTATTTAAAACATTGTAACAGAAATACGAACTACGAAGGGAATGATAGAAAATTTGCTCTTACTACGATACACAATAGGAATATAACAGTGATATTCATCTGTTCTGCTTATGCGAGTTGTGTTACTACCGTTGCTCGTTAAAGGTATTGAATACCATTAAACAGCAAAAGTTATTGTCTACTATTACTTATTAAGTTGTTGAGCTTCCTATAAAAATTCCATGATTGTTTTGATATGCAGAGTACACAGCTATTCATTTCGTTTACGGCTGTTGTAATGGGAAAGCTTGAGTTGCTGTGAGGTAGGAGTACCAACGTAGATTTCATGACAGGATAATATCACGTTGTTCAGTGTTTATGAATATTCTCGCACAATTACGCTTGATGGGATTGTTTCAACATTTTCATTCACCATCTTTTTCACCAAGCTTTGCGGCAGCAAAATCATTCTTCAAGAATATTGATTTTTTTTCTATAATGCTCCTGCAGTAAGTATTCACGAAGCTTTGCATCAACTGGAAGTACGTACTTCGATCTGTTGTACGGCGAACTGTGCATGCTGATGACAGGCATCCGTACCATTATAGACAAGTACAAGTGCCTTTGCCAGGTGACTGACAAATTAGTACAAATTTATCAGTGGTATGTGCACGCTACAAAAGAAAATAATTTTTTGCTTACCAGAATAATGTGGATTGATGAGTCAACGTTAACGAAAGAATTTTTAATAATTATAGTTCGGCACGATAAAATCCACGCGTTATTCGAGTAGTTGTCTTTCAACGTAACTTCAAATGCAATTTAATGACAATTTGATCCTTGTTTTTTGAAGGCGTGTCACTATTTTCTCATTAATACATCTGGATGGAATAGAATGGATATTTGGCACATTATGTACGGTGACGAGTAAACTCAACTTCTGCTAGGGGAAAAAGGGGCGTAGGGGATGGGCCTCCTACTACTTGGTCTTGGTAGTTACTGAAATTTATGCGAAGTTAACATTTGGGTTAACATTTATCTCAGTACTTGAAATAAATTTACAAAGTGGTAGGTTTGGAGCGCTGGCGATTAAATTACAGGACGGTTCCTAAAATGCACGTAACCATTACGTAGCAACTAGAACATTCTCCATCATTCCTGCATCACCGTTTTAGCTATTATAAAAAAGCTCTTAGTACTCAGTTATGAAATTACAGTCGTTTAGCGAGATTGGGTTATTTCTAGTCAAGCATATCAAGTTGTTCCCAGTCACAGGGCGTTGAAACTGGGAAAAATTATAATAGTATAGTTTCAGTCTTTTTTGCGGGACACACGCATACCATTGGTAAACCATTTTTATTTAAAGAATATATTATGTTAAATATAATTTTAACTGTTATTCAAATTATATTCTTTAGACATTTTGAAATATAAGTTTTTAAAACGTGTGTAATTGACATCGATACAGCTTTACCGCTCTAAGTTCATAAGAAATTATTTAATGTGCATACTGTCATCAATCGCAGCGCGTACGACGCCCGTTTAAGTGTTTATTTCGTGACTCGTACAATTTAACGTTTGTTTAATACGTTTTCTATTTCTTTTCCTTATTATCGACTTCCTTGCCACATTCACCGCCATGCCGTAACATCACTATTGATCAACATTGAGTTTTCCATTTATGCCTTGTCGGCCACGGATGACCGTCATTTAATTCCCGCGTACGGGAACCGTTTTGACCCCCTGTACGTATAGTTACTGATGACAGCTGTAAAGTACTCCTAACAAGCAGGATGTGGGGGATAAAGTATGCCAACACTTTGCTTGTACGAGTCGACAGACTGCTTTTGTGTGAATCCACCTCAATTAATGTGGGTTGAGGTCGTGCAAGGGTCGTTTGAAGTAAGTGTTAAAAGAATCCTGTCCAAGAAAGTGCCCGTGGGCTCTTACAGTTTTTCCACCCTAGTCTCTTGTTGTCGTCGGGGCCATGACGCCACACAGTGGTCCGGATTGAACATTACCGGCCCATTTGTACATAATTTTTGATCCATAAAAGATATCCACATAAAATTTGCGCTTGAAAACGTTAAAAAATATTCTTGTTTTAATGATGTATAATGTAATATATTTTATGTTTATTTAATAATATTTTTCTGAATTTTTTAAGTTTAATTGTTCTAAACAATTTTAAAATACTGTTTATTTTATACCTTATTTAATATTTCTTTAGGTAAATTAATCATAAGTTACTGTTATTATCAGTATTAATATACATTTCATATTATTTAATTATTAGTTCCAATAATACTAGTTTCTTGCATGATTTTATTCTTAATTAGACACATATGGATCCGACGTTTTAGCGCTTTTGTACTTACCAAATAGAAGTAAAACGAAATGTTATATCGATGCAAAACAAAATAGAATCTAAATATAACTTACACTTAACTAAACACACAATAGACAAAGAAGTATACATACACTACACGCAACACAAACTATAAACGAATAAAAACAAAAACTATAAAAAACAAAACTCTAAAAGAAAAAAAGAAACAAAAACTTAACAGTAACTTTTAAAAACGTAGGAAATGTTCTCGCTGTTCTGGTTCGAATGGTTCTGATGCGACTGAATGCAGATAGAAAGTCGAAGGCTTATCGACACCATGGTATAAACATACTAAGTGCCTATAATCTAAACAGTTCCTTAGAAGAACCTTCTAACAGCTAAAATCTAGCTCCTAATACCTCGCGGAGTGTCGTCGGTGGCTTTAAACATTAAATAATTTGAAAAAGTGGAAGAAAGTGGAAATAATTCTTGCATGCCTATATAGTGGAAGGTGTACTGAAAATTTTCCAATTGGTTAGACTCTGGGACTTGTTGGGACTTAAAAGATATTCCTTGCTAATTATAGAGAGTTTTGAAAATTTTCTATGTTTCATTCAGCATTATTGTTTTTATATATTCTATACAGTTATTATTAATGTGAGGTATGATTTCTTATCACGGAAGAATTTTCTTCAATATAAAATGAAAACGGAATGAAAATATTAAACGAGATTATCAGCACACCTCGAAGAAGAAAAGCAGTTTTATCGGGTGAGAAGCACCATTCCTAAAACGTCCGACTTTAAGTGTTCGTTTCCATTAAAATACCCATTAAATTTGATTAATATTTTTATTTTTGGTACTAACGGACATTTAGGAAATAGTACACAGTCAGTAGATATCGAAATGAGAAAGTTGACTTTTTGGAACAATGGGCCGGTAATGTTCAATTCGGACCACTGTGCGCCAAAGTTTTGACAGATATCGTCAGTGAAATATGAAAGGAAGGTGTTTAAACAAAGATATTTGCACCTTTCACTAAAATCAGCTTCACAGTTGCATGCTGACAATTGCATGTTCACAATTTAATTGTATTATTTTTTTCAATAATTATTGATACTTCATGAGGATGCCCTTTGGTTAAATTAGTACTGATCATTGTTATCGATTGCTATTACGCAAAAGATTAAATGGCCTGTATCAATTAATAATGCACCTTCTATAAAATTCCTACTGTTTGATGTTGAATTTGTAAATTTAAATAAACTACTTAACGACAGAAACATTATTGTATTTTTCTTTTAATATTTGTTTCTTTGCAACGGTACATAATGCTCGGATGGCACCAATTCTAGTCTGACCTGATTACGGAGCTTCGGAACTACGGTGGTGCCCTCACGGTCACATTTCAATACTGCTTTAAATCTTGCCTAAGATCTACTTTGTTCACTTTTAACCTAGGAATAATGTTTTGCACGCCCTTTGAAACTAAATTTACAGAATATATCGCATAAAGTGTTCAAAATTGTTTCCTCCAAAATTATTAAAGATAGTGAAAAAATTCTTTCAGCAGTTTTTATGGTTTCGTTCATTCAACGTGTATCGTTCTGAATAGAAACTGAATGTTCTATACCATGGCACATGCTGTAATTATTATGTTGATAAGCCATTTTTATATTCAGAATGTGCAGTCGGACGTGGTTCTAACATTCTCGCATTAATTATAACTTTATCCAACGTGGTTTAATAGAAGCGAATGTCGTAAATCGCCGCGACGTACAAAACACGGAGTACATTTTTCTACGCAAGATAAATGCCGATTAACCGTGCATCAGTAAATCTAGGTTAATCGTCGCAATCTCTTAAATGAAGGTAAAGCTCATCGGCTATTGAGTCGTGACACATGGCATCGCAATATCGCAATATCCTCGAGTAATGAACGTTAGCGGCATTATACTTGTGCATCTGCCTTTCTATTATTTGATCACTAAGTAAGACAGCTCTGCCTTACACATAAGATACAGTCAACAAAAAAGTATTAATATTCTCATTCCTTGTGCAAATGTGCAAAGTTTAAAAAAAA